CCCTTTGTCCATCCCTTCATTCTTTGTACCTTTATCTTTGACCTTCCTTTCTTTCATTCTTTGTGGCTTATCATTCTTAGTAGCTTATACTCTCTAAGTACTCTTGTGTAGTTTAGTATATATAAGTGTACAAGATCAGACTGGTCCTGTAGTCTTGATCTTGTCTACTCTAGGTAGTCCTATACTCTTAGACTTACTCTATATACTCTACCTTGTCTCACTCTCTCTCTTTGCCTGTTCTGCAAGTTCTGACTATGTTCTAGTGCTTACATTCTGTATTTCTGTTGTGTAGGATAGTTGTAGCCTGAGTCCCCTCACTGAGCCTTCAGGTCCCCTCTACACTGTTACTGACAAAAGGGGACAACTATGTGTTAAACACAATACTAATATGTTTGTAAGTATTAAGTAAGTACACTACTTACAAAAATAACTCTTTTTAATATTATATATTATAATATATTTTACAATTATTTATTAGTTTTATTGTAAGAATGAATTAATTCCTTATTATTATAATATACTAGTTAATAATAAGAGTCCTTACTTGTTAATAAGAATGTTTAATTATAAATAAGTATTTCTAATTCTTAATAAGAATTCCTAATTATAAGTAAGAATTCTTAATATTTACTTTAATCTCTTATTTTTTATTTATTAATACTATTATTAATATTTAAATAAAAAACTAAAATTATTTTATAATTACTTTCTTAATAGTATAATAAGAATAAAGATAGTAAATATTATATAAAGTATTTACAATTAAGTATAATTTATAATTTTTCTTTGTTTTTAGTATTATAAGTACTTTTTATTTTTTTATTTCTCTTATTTACTATATTATTTTACTCTAATAATACTTATAAAAGTTAATTTATTGGAACATTACTGGTAGAGTACTAAACACTAAGCTTAAAGACTGTAGGACACACAAAGACTGACAGGACAAAGGTATTTTTGTTACAGTCAGTAAACAAGAACTTAGAGTATATAATAAGACACACCTTTGTTATAGTCAGTAAACAAGAACTGGTATAACAAAAGTGTAGACATGAGCTTTATATACTAAGAAAGAAAGGAAGGTGGCTCAGGCTAAAGGAAAGTATAATACAAATGAAAAAGGAAACTATATGTGTGGCTCAGAATCAGAACTAAGAATGAGTAACTTAGGACTGTGTAAGTGAGTCCTAGAACAGAACTCTCAGAACCTTCAGAACTGTAGTAAGCTGTATAGTAGGCTTACATTTATACTACTTTTTCTTTATTATTAAGAAAATTATAATTATAATATTTAGAATTTCTAATATAAACAGTATTAGTTTAGATTTAAATTTTTTTAAACTTTTATTAAACTATTTAAAGTTATTAAAGAATTTAACTTAATTTTTTAAGAAAATCCTATTTAAACTATTTAAAATTATTTACTGCCTTTTTCATAAGTATTGTCACACTTGATGATTCATCATTTTTTGTTACAAAAGTAAACAAAACAAAAAATAGCTGTTTCTCACTCAATTCTGTACAGAATTCAGTGATTATTTGATGTAAATTCATGTTTTTTAAATATGCTTCAAATAGACACTTTAATTATTAAATTTGAGCAAGATTTGACTGAGTTATAGTGAAAATACACTGTTTTTCATGTTTTCTTAATATTTGAATTTTCATTCCTTCAAAACTCAACATATAAGCTTGGAAACAGTTTATTATAGTCACATACATTAGTACTTAATAAATATACCTAATTTACTGTGAATTATGTACTTGTTCTGTTTTTGACTGAGGAGAGACTAAAAT